GGAATGTGCGCTTTGCAGCGCCTCAAAACACACACAGAGCATGTGAATCGGTTCTCTGCGCTGCATATTTGCAGCACGGAGGCAAAATTAGACACTGGGAAACCCGGTATCTAAAAAAAAGTGCAGAGAAAAGAAGCATGGTGGTGCATGGCGTGGCAGCGTGTGCCACCCGAAACCGGTGCCTGGTTGGCCACAGCCACTCTCCGGCTACCGGCCAGGCTCTGCACACCTGGATCAACCCCAGGAGACCCCCGGGACCCCAGGTAAGGCTGCTGGGGCCAGGCTAGGTGCTGTCCCCATCCTCCCCTACCCCCCCAGGACAATTTGCTGCATGCTTTGCTTTTTAGAGAGTCGTATTTCTTTTCCTTACTGTCTTTCTCAGCACAAGAATAATAAAAGCCAATGCCCCATCATAGAGCTTGTTGTCAGGTTTTCTGTATCCCTTAAATTCCCCCAGCACCTAATATAATAAGGTTATAACCAAGGAGAAATTACCTTTGGTATAGACGTGGGAATTATCACTTAACTATTGTCTCTTTAAAGGCTAAAGATGTTTCACAGCCCTGGAGTATCGGGAGAAGCTGAGGAGTTGGACGTTGCATCAGGTATGTACCGCCACACACACACACAAAATTAATTAGTTCCTGTACTGTTTTAATGATGACGCTATCCGCTAGAAGTTGTCAGCTAGCATTAAAAACCCAGATGTTTGTAGGGCTATTCTCCTACATTTCCTGGATGTCTATAAACAATGAGCGTGGGTGGTTTGTAAGAGATCCCCAGCTGTCGGTGCTAGCTAATGCAATACCAATTATTAGCAGAGCAGGGAAGGCACAGACTCGTTTAAGTTTCTTTACATCGCAGCTGACCTAAAGAGCAAAGTTATTAACTGCAACAATTCCCCAATAAGCCTAACAAGGGTATTTGCTTTATCCCTTCGTCCCTTTGCAGATCACTGCCCAGTGCATCCTTATCTAGACAGCCCCAAGCACTTTTTCCCTATTGTGTTTTACTAAAAATAAAACAGAAACATCCCACCATTACCTACTCCGTTTCTCCCACTCATGTCCCCTCTGCCACATAGGTTTGACATACACTAGTGATATGAGGGCCTGTCTTGGGACGCCCGAAGTTTTAATTAGCTGTCCCAAGAGTATGGTATCCTGGGGGGTGTTGGTCAGGCCTACAAAGCGGCAGAAGCACCAACTTCACGAAACAGCAAATACCGGGGGTTTGATTCTCCAGCAAGAAGAAGGTCGAGCGTCTTTAAAGGAGTACGTCAGAGAGGACAGATGGTAGCAGAGGAACAAGAAAGCTTAAAGGCATTGAATAAAACCCTGCACTAAATCCATCCTGCTTGGTTTCTTTCTTTTTAGACAAGTTGTTTCTCCTGGACATACTTTTAAGTCTCCCTTTGGAGCACGTCAGGACTTTCCACTGCTAAACGAGCAATTCATTTGCTTTCCAAGATTTTCCCGTATTCATTATAGGAGAGAGAGGCTCAAAAGAAATGAACTGGAGAGGCCGAAACAAACTGATCGTGGTCGGGAGAAACCGGGGAACCACCGGGCTGATGAGAGAGCAGCGCAGCAAAGAGGAGACCGACAGGAGACAAGTTTGGAGCACGTGGATCCTGCATCACATCCATTTCTTGGACGTCTGATTAATACCTAAAGCACATGGCTAATTTATTCTCAGTGAATCGATTCAGATCATTTCAGTCTTTTCTTTCAGAGCGAGGGAACCAGGCTCCCAGCCCTGCTCCCTTAGCAAAGAGAGGCAACTCTGGTTTCAGGCTTTGTTCCTTCCAGCGAAGCTTTGAAGTGAATCAAACCCCAATAACCAAACCAGACGAGAAACCAAAACCTTCTGTCTTCCTTCGGACAAAGAGGACGGAGCTGGGCTGGTCTCAGCGGGGGCAGACGACAGGACAAGGAGCAATGGGCTCAGGCTGCAGCAAGGGAAGTTGAGGTTGGATATTAGGGAAAACTTGCTTACTGGGAGGGTGGTGAAGCACTGGAACAAGCTATCCAGAGAGGTGATGGCATCTCCATCCTTGGAGGTTTTGAAGACCTGGGCTAGACCAAGCCTTGGCTGGGATGATGTAGTTGGGGCTGGTCCTGCTTGGAGCAGGGGTTGGACTAGATATGACTCCTGAGATCCCTTCAACCCTCGTTGTCTATGAGTCTAAAGGAAGGAGACCATTCTGGCTCCGTGCATTTCCCAACACTACATCCTCTCCTCTCCTGCTGGAGCTCTTACCCACTTTGTATCCTCATCCTCATTACCTGCTCAGCAGGTTCCCCACCCTCTGGCCTATTAGCTGCCGACCACCTGCCGCTGGCTTTCCACTGGCCAAAGCCTGAGGACCTTCTTCCGCTCTGGTGAATAGGTTACGCTCAAACACCTCTAATCCAGATGTCTGAAGGACTGTTTCCTACACGGGAAACACCCATGCAAACCCTGGCTCCTGTTGCCTTGCTGCCAGGATACACCGAGTTTAGTTTGGTTTGCATTCCTGAGGAAAACAGACCGGGAGTCATGCAAAATAATCACAGACATTAAAAATGAGCGAGGTTAGGTCGTATGTATCCTGCCGCAGTGCTGGGCTGGACACGGTTTTCAATCCCTTCCACGGCTGCGTGCATTTGTGATGTGGTTTGCGTTTACATCTTCATCACCAACCTCTCCTCTAGGCAGCAAAACCACCGGTGTCATGGGATGCTCCAGTCAGCTCCTTCATCCTCCAACCTTTTCAGTTAGAAAGGAGCAAAACATACTTTTAATGATGCTTCTGGTCTGTGCCGAGCACAAGTCTGCAGGACACCTGGCTGCAGCTCGCTTCATCGCCATCCATTTCTCCCCAAGAACAGTCTTTGTAACGGGGATCTTCGACTGTACAGGATAGGCAGGACCAACAATTAAACTATTCATTACAGGCTACTGTAGGCTACTTAATGAAGGAAACATACGCCTCTCCCCCTCTCTCTCTCTCCACAGGACAGGGAGGGTAACGTGCAAGCATCGTCTCCTGGCTCCACATCGATGAAGTTATCAAACCTTTAAAATGGTTTATCATCAATGAAGAGCAATTTTGTTGAGGAATAATTGGATGGAGATTTTTTTTTCATACTAAAAAAAAAATAGGGCAAGAGCTCCTTTAGGTCCTAATAATACACTACATCCTCTGTGCTCGTGGGTTGCTAATACCATGCAAGGAGGTACTTGGTGGGAGCTTCCCCTCACATGACCTGGCCAACGTCTGTGGAAATCACCTGCTTCATCCTGCGGTCCAGCCATCCTTGACCCCCCTTAGACTCAAATCACCCCTCATTCAATTCAAGGCACCCCTCAGAAAATGCCAGCTCGGTCCTTTTTTTTTTTGACTACAGAAAAATAATAGAGCAACTGCTCCGTTGCAAAGAGCTACGAAAGACCGCAGCATGTTTTTAAGACTGGATTTCTATTTGAAATCTCTGCGAATGTGTCCACACCTAACAAGGCTAACATTGCGTGGCAGCCCACAGCACTCTTGAAAGGGTCTTGAGGGACACGATTCTTCCCCTCTATTCAGCACTGGGGAGGCCACATCTGGAGTCCGGTGTCCAGCTGTGGGCTCCGACTGTAAAAAGGATGTGGACACATTGGAGAGTTCAGCGGAGGGCAATGAAAATGGTTGGAGGCTGGGGGACAGGACTGGTGAGGAGAGGCTGAGGGAACTGGGCTGGTTGAGTCTGCAGAAGAGAAGACCGAGGGGGATTGAATAGCAGCCTTCACCTCCCTGCAGGGGGGTGCAAAGAGGATGGAGCTGGGCTGGTCTCAGTGGGGGCAGATGACAGGACAAGGAGCAATGGGCTCACATTCATAGATTCATAGTTTGTCAGGGGCTGGAAGGGACCTTGCAGATCATCGGGTCCAGCGCCCCCCACCCCCCAGGCAGCAAGACAGCTGGGGTTCATAGATTCATAGATTGTAGAGTCGAAAGGGACCACAATGGATCATTATGTCCGACCCCCTGCCCCTGGCAGGAAAGAGGACCGAGGTCAGATGAACCCAGCCAGGTGACTATCTAGCCTCCTCT